GTTTGAGGTTGTGGACAGGTGTCTTTTATACTGATAACAAGTTCAAACAGGTGCCATTGATACAGGTAATGAGTGCAGGACAGAGGAGCCTCTTAAAGGAGAAGGTACAGGTGTGAGAGCCAGAAATCTTGCTTGTTTGTAGGTGACCAAATACTTATTTTCTACCATAATTTGCAAATAAATTCCTTCCAAATCAGCCAAAGTGATTGTCTGGATTTTTTTTCTCATTTTGTCTCTCATAGATTGAGGTCTACATATGATGCCAATTACAGGCCTCTCTCATCTTTTTAAGTAGGAGAACTTGCACAATTGGTGGCTGACTAAATACTTTTTTGCCCCACTGTATATGCAGGGGTTGAAAAAAATGATGGAAACACCAGGTAAAATAACACAATTGTTAGATAATATGATGTTGGATCACCTTTGGCATCCAAGAGGGCCTGAATTCTCCTGAGAATTGACAAATACCAGTCTTGGATGTGGATAATGGAGTCTGTTACCACTCTTCATGCAAAAATCGGTCCAGTTCTCACAGAGATGCTGGAGGTGGAAAATGTGTCCGAAACTTGTTCTCCAAAACTGACCATAGTGGTTCTATGATATTGAGGTCCGGCGACTGCAGCACCCAGGGAAGGTGCAAGACTTCATCTGCATGCTCGTCAAACCATGATTTGACAACATCAGCTATGTGAATCAGAGCATTATCATCTTGGTAAATGGCGCTGTCTTCAGGAAACAATGTCTGCACCATGGGGTGCCCATGGTCGGCCAAAATTTGTACATAGTCACTGGCAGTGACCAAGGGCGGACTGACCATTTGGAAACTCGGCACTGCCCGAGGGCCTGGGGTCAGTAGGGGACCCCATGAGATGCCCCTGGTACCTTTTTCATAGGCTTTTTTGAGTTTGGGCAAGTACACAGGGACCCCATGATCTTCTATTGCCCAGGGGCCCCATGAGTTGTCAGTACACCCCTGGCAGTGACTCTACCTTTCAAGGTGATGATGGGGCCTGCAGAATACCAAGATATGGCTGCCCATGCAATGATTGCGCTCCCACCATGCTTTACCAGTGGTACAATGGTAAAGTCCTAGTCATAAGCTTGGGATGGTGATCACCACAACTAAGCATGTCCGGTGGTTGAGAACAGTGTGAAGCTTGATTCATGGGACCATATTACAGTCTTCCATTAATCGAGAGTCCATGATTTATGGGTGATGCTCCTCTTCTGAGCATTAATATCGTTCACTAGTGGTTTGGCAATTACAGCTCACCCATGAATGGTTTGCTTATGGAGTTCTCTCTGCACAGTTATTGAGGACACGGCTTTGTAAGATTGAAATTGAACTCTGCAGTCACTGCAGTTGGTTTCTTATTCCGGGTTATGATCCTGCGCAATGTCCTTTTGTCTCTTGCACTTATGCTAATCAGACAATGTTTTCCTGGAAACTGTATATGCCGTCATAACCTTTGAAACTGTACTTCACAACATGGCAAATAAATTGGCAACTTCAGCCACAGACACACCAGCTAAAGTGGGCACCAACAATTTGCCTTCTTTGAAGGTCAGTAAGCTGTGACATGACTCTGTATTACTAGCAGTGCACATAGTGAGTGTCAAAATTGAGGCTAGGTTGTCTCATCACACAGTGGAAGAAAAAGAAGGTTGTATCACTTCTTTCAACCCAAAACATATTGCCACTTTCACACCTGCAAATCATGTAGTGTTTCCATATTGTTGTCAAACCCCTGTATATTAGTTAATGGTCCCACTGTTAAATCCAGGTTCTGATCCCTTAAGGTAGCAAGCAGCCAAATACAGAGTATTTTGACTAGGTGTGTTAAATCCCACTCAGTCCTCATGGAGTAATCAGGCAGATAGTGTTCTTTTGTCTTTTTTTTGTTTTGTAGAACTGGTATAGGGATTGGGAAAAGCTTTGGGATGGCCAGAACTAAACGACTGGAACGAGACTACAATCTTGAAGCAATTAACTAAAATAAAGCAAAATTTCTGCACAAAAGGTAGCAGCAGCACAGGGGGGGCTTCCTCTAAGGTGCAGCCCTGGCAGCAGGTCTGGAACAGTCTCTCAATGAAGAAGGGGTGTACAGGCAACAGTCTCTCTCTCAGGATTCTCTGAGGTCTACTCACTGTGATCCAGTCAGTCTGAAGGCCTCCTTCCACTTCAGCTGACTCTGACACGAGGTATCTCAGGAAGATTCTCTTTAGATGATGCCCTGGTGTTCCTGCAACTTTGGGGGTGATCCTTTTGCTCCATATTGTATTTCTCTTTTCATGTAATTGTCTTCAGTTGTTTGAATTGTTCTGTTCTGTCTTTATAGCTCTCAAGTGCAAATGTGTATTTGTATTTATTGTAATGCCAGCAAACATTTCCACAAATATATATTTGTGGAAAAAATTACCAGAATTGATTTTCAAGATTTGCACTTCTTATAAACTTAAATGAAGTTTAGTTATGATTTGTGATTTCCACTGGGAGTATTGCACTTGTGTGCTTTTTTGTAGCCAACTCCCCGCCCCATCCATTTTTTTGTATTTTTTATTCTTTCTTTTCCCTCTCCTTGTTTTTATCTTTCTTTTTTTTACTCTATCTCTATTATGGGTAATGTAGCTGATTCTTGGTTTTGGTTAGTTTTATTTAAAAAAGTGGCTCCTCTCACATAGCCGTATTTCTGCCTACTGAAGCGGGCTGTGTTATTGTTTGACGATTATTCCCTTTATGGTTGGATTGTTTGTTCTGTAGTATACAGTGTGTATATGGTTGCTCAAGCTCCAATATTATAGACCCTGTCATTGTCCTAGCCAGCTCATGGGATTGGGGTATGTATGACTGCTGATGATATCAGTGTTCTGTATCAATCTTCTTTGTGATTGGATTTAATAAAGACTTTTGATTTAAAAATAAAAATGGGGTTAGTTTATAAGTTTGAAACTTTTAGACTTGGGTTCAGTGAATGCCTGCTAACCAAATCCAGACACATTTGTTCATCCCTCATTTCTACTGAAAATAATTTTGATATATAAAGGAATGTGGGGATCTGCAATTAAAATAATCTGCCTCAGGTGTTGACTGCGCTAGGTACACCACTGTTATAGAGGTCCTTTATGCTTGCTCAAAACTAAATAACAGGATGCCTTTTTGGCCAAGGTAAACTTACCTTTTGTTGAAACTCAACTTGCTTAAGAGATAGAATACTTAAAACACCATTCAATTATATATAGGCTACCCAACTTTAACTGAAATGAACACTACTGATGTTTTCTTTTGTGATAGAAAAACATTAAGGTCTGGCTCACAGTTTGCATAGTATCAGGCAAAGCATGCTGACACATTAAACTGGAACTTTAGTCAGAAAATTAAATCCTGCTAGATCACTTCAGGCTGGCCCCTTGTGCATGTATAGCTAAGTACAGCATTAAAAACAAGTGTCTATACTGTTTAAAATCCAGTAATACACTGTCTTACCCTGCCCTGCACTTGCTCAATTGCTCTCTATTTTTCATCACCTTTCATCCTAAAATCAGAGCCACTAGAGGCCGATCTATTGACAGCCTAATGATTTACTGCTGCTCAGGGGCTCTGGGCTTCAGCCTGGGCTTCAGTAAATGGCAGCCTCCAGCAAGAAGAAACAAAGAGAACAATGCTGGAGGCAATTTACAGCACACACTAATTTTGGTAGCATAATTAATAGTTACATAGTTAGTCTGGCTGGAAAAAGACACAAGTCCATCTAATTCAACCATAAAAGAAAAAAAAAAATATATCCTATACTCATAGTTGATTCAGAGGAAGGCAAAACCCCCCAGCAAAGCATGATTCAATTTGCTACTGCAGGGGAAAAGATTCCTTCTTGATCCCCAAGAGGCAATCAGATATACTGGATAAACTTTACCTATAAATGTTAGTATCCAATTATATTATGTGTATCTGGGAAAGAATCCAGGCCTTGTTTAAAGCAAACGACCTAGCTGGCCAGAAACAACTCTTGAGAGAGTCTATTCCACAGTTTCGCAGCTATCACTGTGAAGAAACCTTTCCATATTTGGATATTAAATCTCTTTTCCTCCAGACATAAAGAGCGCCAGACTTTTATTTGTTTTTTTTTATTTTAAGTGGACCTCCACTTTAAGGTGAATAACTTTACACTGTGTACACTATATGAACCACGGATGTTTTTATACATGTTGATCATATCCCCCCTTAATTGCCTCTTCTCAAGAGAGAATAAATTCAGTTCCTCTAATCTTTCCTCATAGCTGAGCTCCTCCATGCCTCTTATCAGTTTGGTTGCCCTTCTCTGTACTTTCTCCAGTTCTCTGATATCCTTTATGTGAATTGGTGCCACAAACTGAACTGTATATTCCAGGTGAGATCTTACTAATGATTTGTACAGGGGCAAAAATAATCTCTTTCTCTCTCGCAGCTTGGCATTGCATGCCATTATTAGACTTATGATCTACCAGAACAACCAGATCCTTCTCCACCATTGATTTCCCCAGTTGTACTTCTCCTAGTGCAGGGCTTAAAATTTCAAGTCCTGAGATACTAGCCAGGCCTTAAGAGTTACTCGCCATCAACAAACAAACACAAACAGAGACACCTGTACCACACACAGACATGAACATACACACCAGGGGCGGACTGACCATTTGGAAACTCGGGCACTGCCCAAAGGCCCGGGGTCAGTAGGGGGCCCCATGAGATGCCCCTGGTACCTTTTTCATAGGCTTTTTTGAGTTTGGGCAAGGACACAGGGGCCTCACGATCTCCTATTGCCCGAGGGCCCCATGAGTTGTCAGTCCGCCCCTGATACAAACACACACACACAGAAACATGTACACACACGCACAGAGACACATGTAAACACACACACATACAGACACATGTGTACACACAGGCACGTACAGACACATACACACAGATACATGTACATACACAGAAATACACAAGCACAGACACATGTACATACATACACAGACACATGTACACACAGACACATGTACGTACATACATGCACACACACAGACACATGTACACACACACAGACACATACACACACACATACATGTACATGCATATACAGACACATGTACAGATACACACATGTACAACACACAGACACATGTACATGCATACACAGACACACACATGTACACACACGCACACACACCTATAAAAAGTTGCAGTACTTCGTTGTTCACTCACAGAGCCGGTTACTGCACTCTAGGGGGAGGCAGAGAGCACAGCACACACTCCTTCCTTTGCTTTCACTGCGCTCAGCAATTGAGCAGTCTGACGGCTCCCAGTGCCCATGACAGATCCAGCCTGAGCTCCGAGCCTGCTCAGCAAGATGGCCTTGGGGGGCACACTCTCCCCCACCATAATTTCCACTCACCATTGGCGAGCAGGCGAGTGGAAATTTCAAGGCCTGCCCTAGTATGTATGATGCATGCATATTCTTAGTCCCCGAGTGCATAACTCTACAACATTATCAACATTAAACCTCATTTGCCACATAGTTGCCCAATTAAACAGTGCATTGAAGTCAGCCTGTAAGGATGTTATTCCACTGCATAGCTTGGTGTCATCTGCTAAGACTGAAATGTTATTTTTAGTCCCAAACTCTATACCATTTATAAATATATTGAAAAGTAAGGGTCCCAACACTGAACCTTGGGGTACAGCACTAACAACCCTAGACCATTCAGAGTATGAATCATTAACCACTGAATTCGTTCTTTTAGCCAGTTTTCTATCCATTTACAAACTGATTTTCCAAGCCTGTAGATTTTACTTTACAGATTAGCTGCATGCTCACCTCCTCATAAAAAGAAATTAGATTTGTTTGACAACTTCTGTTTTTCATTAATCCATGCTATCTGTTGCTTAAAATATTTTCTTTAAGCAAGAACTCATCTATGTGGTCTTTAATTAAACTCTCCAGTATCTTCACAATTATAGAAGTTAAGACTTTGATCCCTTTTTAAATATAGGCACCACATTGGCCCTACACCGATGCAGTGGTACTATGCCAGTCATTAAAGAGTCCCTAAAAATTAGAAACAATGGTTTTGAAATGACAGAGCTCAATTCTTTTAGGATGCGTGGGTGTATGCCATCTGGTCCAGGTGCTTTATTCACCTTTATTCTGTCTAAATATTTCTGGATCACATCAGTTGTGGATCATCTGGGGCTGTGTCAAACCATGCCCATTGTGGACAAGAGCTCTGCTATGCTCCTTTGTATACACAGAGCTGAAGAAGATATTTAATAAATTTGCTTTCTCATTGTCCCCAGTCACCACTTTAGATTATTTTGTAAAGGGCCTACATGCTCGGACCGGACCTTTTCACTATTAATATATTATAAATTATAAGGGGGCAGCACAGTGACTAAGTGGTTAGCACTTCCACCTGGCAGTACTAGGGTCATTGGTTCAAATCCCAATGACAGCACCACCTGCCTGGAGTTTGCATGTTCTCCCTGTGTCTGCGTGGGCTTCCTCCGGGTACTCCAGTTTCCTCCCCACACTCCAAAGACATGCTGGTAGATGAATTGGATCCTGTCTAAATTGGCCAATTAAATCATAGTTCTCTTCATTCACCAAAGCTTCTAACTCACCTATCTTGCTTGGCAGACGTCTAGCATTGGTGAACAAACACTTTATTCATTGTCACAGTTTGCACACATATTTAGCATGTTCTTTATTTTCATACAAATAGTACTAATTCCATTGATTGTAACATGGGAACCTTCTTATCACCAGACCTAGGGCTGCCATAGCCCTCCCCCCATTTTTCCCCATTCCACCCACCAATAGGGACTGACCCTTGTCTAATCTGTCTGCCCCATTATAATTTAATTTTCCCTCCCCCTTCAATCCAAATTTAAATACTCCTCCAACCTTTCCATAAACGTCTCCCCAGCACAGCAGATCCCCTTCCATTTAGGTGAAAACCATCTTTAGCATATAGGCTGTGCCCCAATGAAAAGTCAGCCCAGTGCTCTAGACACCCAAATAGTTTCTTTTTACACCAGATCTTTAGCCATGCATTCCTTCCTCTAATCTCCCCCTGTCTTTCCTGTGTTGCACATGGCAGGCAATATTTCAGAGAATATCACCTTGGAGATCCTTCCCTTTAACTTGCAGCCTAGTTCTTTAAATTGATACTTAAGGTGCGTCCACCTTCCATGTATTCTGTCATTGGTTCCAACATGGACCAAGACAGACAGGTCTTGACCAACCCCTCCAAGTAATTTATCAGCCTGGTACACCACATGCCAAATTCTGGCACCAGGGAGACAGCAAACCATTCCGTTGAGGCAATCCTGGTGACAAATGATCAGTCCTTATGATTATAGAATCCCCAGTTACCACCAACTGTCTAGGTCTTCCTGTACTACTCTCACCCCCCCTCCTAGATGGGCTGCTCTCCTGGCTGTTAGGGATAGCACTGACATCTAGGGCTGCCACCCCCACATCTTCACCCAACTTGGCAAATTTTTTTAGGGTGCTTAAACCCAGGGCTGAGCAAGGTCAGAGTGAGTTCTACAAAATGTTATATAGTACCTGGAGCACCTGTGACCAATTAACCCCCCCCCCCTTAATTAGCAGACTGAAGGAAGGAAAGAAAAAAAGTGACAGAAAAGGTGATTTAAAAAAGAAAAAGATGCTAGAAAAGACCCCAAAGGAAAGGAAAATAAAAACAACTACAACCACAAGCAATCACCTGTATTCAAAAACAAAACCGTTTTTCACTCTCCACTCAAAACAAAACAAAGGATTGTATTTTCCTTGTTGTTATGGCAAAGTTCTGCTTTATGAGATAGAATATTTAAAAAAAAAAAACAGTTAATTCCTCAATAGACTACATAAATTTAAAGGAAAATGAACACTATGGATGTATTCATATTTGATAAAAATATTTAAGGACTGGCTCACAGTTTGTATAGTATTATACAAAGCATGTAATGACACATATGCAAATCATAGTAATATGCAATAAACCAAACTTAAAGTAGTAAATGTTCTATGATGACAAACACATTATTCCACAGGGAAATAATACACTGTCATAAATCCAGAGTTTGTTTTTCTGTTACATGGGAGTATAATGATATTCCTTGCTTGTAAATTGAAGGTCACATGATCGCTCTAGCTCACTGAGTAATCCATGGTCCTGTTGGTGGGCATGTCAAGAGAGGGGGGCATGATGTCATTGCAGGAAATTAAGTTGCCACTGAGCTTCTGTGTTTCCATAGCAATGAAATGTAGTCAGACCCGGCGGCAACGTCACTTCCCCCTTTCCCCAGCCGAGTGCAGTAGGAGCTGCAACTGGAGGGAGGGGGGCACAGCTTTCCACAGACTACAGGAGATACAGGCATGCTGTATTATAGCACAACATGCTTTTATTACAATAGGGATGTCACAAGAATGGACCACACTAACCTGGATTGTCAGCCATGCTACCGTGGTCAGTTTACTCTCAGGAGGAGGGGCATAGGCAGGATCAACCAGGTATTACACAACACAGGCAGGCCTAAATATAATAGCAACATGAATAAACATTTTTCTTAGGTTTACAAACACTTTAACACATGACCTATCCTCCTACCTTTATGGCTACATTTTCATGTCCTTTGATAGCAGGTTAATTAATTTAACTTACTAATGAAATGCAAGCAGTAAGCTCTTTTACACTTAGCGATAGTCTCTGAAATGCGATTTTCAGTGGTTCAATTTTCAGAGAACAGTACAGGAGCAGGTGACATTTGGGAGGTGCCTACTGAATGAATTTGTTTTAGACAGATGAAGAGGGCTTTTGAATGGAAGCTGTTGCAGCTGTAAGCCCAGTGTTTCGTTTGGGATTGTGGCACAGCCCCATTCACTTGAATTGTTTCACATTTTATTCGGCAGCAGATCTGCCACATTGAGTATAATTTTTGCCATTGCACACCACAATATGACACAACCACCTCTGTGTGTACAGGACTATAGGTGCGGTGGAAGTCAGTAGGAGAACTTTATAAATACTCCTTAGCTTTTCCATTTCAAGACCACTAGCCCCTCCCTCCTAGATTGTAAGCTCCAAGGAGCAGGGCCCTCCTATCCCTCTTGTATTGAACTGTATTGTTGCTGTATTGTCTCCCGTTATATTGTAAAGTGCTGAGCAAACTGTTGGCGCTATATAAATCCTGTATAATAATAATAATAATGACGTGTAAACAAAGCCTAATGCATTCAATATCCAGCTTCATCATCTCGTGTCTTGGAATATGGGGGTGGGGGGCACTCAGCAACAGGCTATTTTTTTACTAAACAGCTAAAACTAACTGTCCATGTGAATCAGGTAAAGCGCAGGGCCACAAGTGCATGCAATTTCTATTTACAGAAATTCAATTTGAAATACTGCTTTGTAACAAGTGCAAACTATTTTATTTTTCTTATATTTTGTTAGGGTATATATTTTCCACCATATATCTGTGGGCATTTAACTGTGTCACATGTTACAGCAAAAAAGGCTAATTCTTATTAACAGAGTGGTGAGTTTATTTATCCTAATAACCTGTAGAGAATAATGTTTTATTTAAATGGCAAAAACTGGCTGGACAAATATCAGAATGATAGATGTGTCTAATTTATTTTATGGTCTACAATGTATTTATATACATTAGTTAATGTAATGATTTTTGTAAAAGGCTTCAAGTAAAAGTCATTTGTTTTAATGCTTTATTACATTTACAGTAAAATGAATATAAGAGACGGCATTCATTTTACAGCACACAATGGTTTTCTTTAAAATTTAAATACCAAGATGTTGATATTATGAGCCACATGTGATATCTGGACATCTCCATCTTGAAATTGTTTTTAATATTGTTTGTATGTCTTTGTACACGTTGTGGCAATTGAGCGCCGTGCGTTACCACTAGCTTTTATGCATTTAAATTTTTTGCCATGAATAAAATAAAAATTAACTTTTTATTACACTTTCTGATTCAAGCCTTGTTTGCTGTCAGATTAACCACTTGTCTCATAAAGGAGGCTTTACCCACTGTATGTGATCATTTTGTATGTTATTGATTGTGGTTTTGACAGCAACGCTAATTTAGCAATAAGGCAGACAGTGTCTCTCTTATATATTCCTTCCTCTTTCGTTTGTATAGTTCCAAGGAATAGAAGACTGCTACATTACCATTTACAAAGAATTACCACCACTTCAGGTCTTAAAGGTTAAAGTCAAAGCAAGTTTAAACCTGGGTTCACATATGTGCGGTGCGGTATGTCGCATGTGATTCGCACAGGAACCACACCGCATTCCTGTGCAAATCACATGCGATTTGTGTGCGGTGCGATTGGAGCCATACATTTTGTATGGCTCTATTCGCACTGCACCTGCATCAAAAATGTGCAGGTTCCTTTTTTGGGTCCACAC